CCTAGAGACAGAACATGGCAAAAGATGCTGGACAGAACCTGGCTACAGAACTTGGTTGGAGAACCTAGACAGAACCTGGCTGCAGAAGCCGGCTACAGAACCTGGCGACTGAACCTGGCCGGAGAACCTAGCGAGAGAACATGGCTACAGAACCTGGCTGGAGAACCTGGAGAACGTGGCTGGAGAACCTAGCAAGAGAACATGGACACAGAACTTGGCTGGAGATTGTGGCTAGAGATCCTGGCAAGGCTGCTGATCAACTGAACGCTGTCTCCGTATCATTCCTTCTCCGCCAACTCCGTCCACACCTTTGGGGACCCCTGGACCTGCTGGGGTTGGACCCCAGCAATAATCCAAGTGTTTTGGGGCCCAACGGTCAGATAACCTAGCTCCCGAACCTCCGTAAGAGTCCAGAGGGTGAACATACTCACAGAAACCTCTTCTCCTTCAAGAAGTTCTTCAATGACAATCGTTTCTCCAGCTGCTCCAAAAGCTTTATCCTTATTGTAGATTAAAAAGTACAGAAGTAAGTTGTAAGCTCTTAACATTTACTTAATTGGCTGTTATTTCCCACCATTTGTACCATGGACCAATGCACTGCTATTGTCACTTCCCTTCCCCTTTCTGAAAGCCTCAAAGGAACCTAGGAATGTTTCCTGCAGGAAGCGGCTGTAGGGTCAAGCCTCGGACTGACCTGTGGCAGAGGCACATACAAGTCCCTCCTTGGAGGGCAGAGCCCTCCGAGCACTGTTAAGCTTGACCTTATAGTCCTCCCTTGTTCCTAGGTAGCTAATGGGCTGTGGGAGGTGCAGCAAGTGCTGCCAAACAAGGCTTGAGTACAGAAATAGATTTGAAATTCCCAAGAACGTTGTAAAGATGTTGACCACTCCCCTTGTTTTGCTTTTTGTGATCTGATTATAAAATAAAGCTTTGGCTTAGGCTGTGTCACCGTTTCCCCATCCAGGCACAGTGATCCCACCTGGTCCCAACTGTATTCTCTTGTCTGTCTCCTTTAATCCTCCATCCCCTCTTCAGGTTCACCCTGGCCATGCTGGACACAGTTCAGTTTCCCATTTTTATTTTATTTATTCATTTAAAAAAAAATATTCCACTGATTTTTTACAGAGAGGAGAGAAGAGGTACAAATGAAAGGTAACAGAAAAATAGATGTCTTCACCTTCTAATTTTCATTTCTGAATGATATACGTTTGACTAAATAATTATTCTAAAGAATGTCTGTGAAAGTAGATTTCTACAAGGAGGGGACCTACAGCAATCAAGATGGATCCACAAAGAAAGCAAAGTCCACGAACTCATCGCCTCACTGCTCTGAGATGCAGAGCAGGGAGGATTCCCCTGTAGAAGATGGATCCACAAAGAAAGCAAAGTCCACGAATTCATCGCCTCACTGCTCTGAGATGCTCTACAGCAGTGGTTCTCAACCTTCTGGCCCTTTAAACACAGTCCCTCATGTTGTGACCCAACCATAAAATTATTGTCGTTGCTACTTCATAACTGTAATGTTGCTACTGTTATGAATCGTCATGTAAATATCTGATATGCAGGATGGACTTAGGCGACCCCTGTGAAAGGGTCATTGGACCGCCAAAGGGGTCGCGACCCACAGGTTGGGAACCGCTGCTCTACAGGCTGAGGACCACCCACCTCTCAGTAGCAGACAAGAAGGGGCGCTAGGACAGAGCCCAGGTTCCGCCATCAGTGCTGAGCGGCCGGACCCTTTCAGAGGCGGATCAGACACAAAATCTTACGAAAAACAACCTACCTGCGTGCTTGCTGGAAACATCCTCCTTACCGAGAGAAAAGTTTTATAAAATTAAGAGTAGAAAATTGTAAGCTTTACCCGGTGTGGCTCAATGACGAGTGTCTCCAGGAGTCCCCTACCTGCATGATCTCCTGCACGGCTCTGCAGGCCTCTTCTCTGCTCTCTGCCACGATCACCCCCTTCCCGGCGGCCAGGCCGCTGGCCTTCACGACCAGAGCAGGGAAGTCTGCACTGTGGAGACAGGTTAACCCTCAGCACCACACACCCTTACAACTCAAACATGTAAGCTGCTCTGGGATTTTGTAATGATATGCTCCAGCAACAGAGGGAAGCAGAAGTTACTGATCATCCTGACACCATTCTGTACTTCCCAGTTTCCTTACGTAGTCCTTTCTGGTTGTGATCACATGGCACATAATTCCCCTCCTCTCCCCCCTCCGCTTATTGTAAGATCATACTGATGCAAATCGGGTATGGAATCATCTTTCAGAGACAAAGCAGCGAGCCATACACTCATTCAAGTAGAAGATGTGGCTGTGCATGAACTATGTGAACATGGATACATGGACATTTCTCCAAGGGCATATGAGAAACTCGCTGGTAGTTTCTTCTGTTGAGGGAGCTGGAGATCTGAAAGGACACTAAGGAACCAAGTCCTTACCAACCCAAGGCACTCGGCTACTGGGAAATAACACTCAGCGCCTAAGAGACTCTGTAGGATGTGGAATGAATAGAGAACAAAACTAACTCAACGACTAGGAAACGGAAAACATACCAGGTCGCAGGGAGAGGTGTCGCAAAAAAAGGGCCAAGTCAGGCGCCTGCCAGCACTCACGGACAGGGATGTCTGACTTTAGGCCCAAGAGCTGAGCAGTGGCGGCACAAGGCCACCAAGTGATGGTTCTTCACTCTGGTTAATTATCAAAAAATCCCACCCTTTATTTCTTTTTTTAATATATTTTATTGAGTTTTTACAGAGAGGGAGAGGGATAGAGAGTTGGAAACATCGATGAGAGAGAAACATTGATCAGCTGCCTCCTGCACACCCACTACCGGGCATGTGCCTGCAACCAAGGTACATGCCCTTGACCAGAATCGAACCCGGGACCATTCAGTCCGCAGGCCAACGCTCCATCCACTGAGCCAAAGCGGCCAGGGCTCACCCTTTATTTCTTAAGTTGTCACTGTATACGTCAAGCAGGCAGCCCGCTGGCGCGAGACTGACATGCTTAGTGTACATCAACTTGGCTGTGAAAAGAGCGCATGACTGTAAAACCAAGTACCTCTCTTCCCCCAGGGACTACTCAGTGATAAATAATAAACTCCCCTTTCTGCAAGGTCGCAGGATCTACTACACATGCAGAGAATTCCATGTTTTTCCGATGTTGGAGAAAGGCAACCAAAACAGAGTGAGCCCCACCCCAATCTCACAACCAACGGGCGATGTAAGCGACCCAGACCGGTGACTGTCATGGGCAGCAAGCGCCCTCCCGGCCAGCCCTACCTCAGGATGAAGCTGCGGGCCTCCTCGGGCTCGGTGAAGGCTCTCCACCGGGCGGTGGGGATGCCATGGCGGTCCATGAACTCTTTGGCAAACCTTTTGCTGGACTCGAGCTGAGCCGCCTGTGCTGTGGGGCCAAAGCACCGCACGCCGGCCGCCGCCAGGTCCCCGACGATCCCTACGAGGGAAAGGACACCTCCGCTGAGCCCGGCCTTCGGGGCCTCTCCACCCTCAGGAAGAACCGGGGTCACATGAAAGTTCCACAGAGACGAGGCCCATGACTGTTGGTGACACTTTCATGTTTTCTACAGAACAGGAACACAAATGCTACAAACGTGACTTAAATCCAGAAGTTTTTATATTCAAATATATGGATTGGATAGGAACATATAAAAACATATGTTTCCCGTGGCTGCAAATTCGATTTCTCATTCATCACATTGCTGCTGCTTGAGGAAAAATTAACCTAAAACCCGTAAATTTCAAGAGGGTGGAGCGCCTTTCCCCAATGTTACATCACATCAGAAACCCTCATCTCTAAAGTGCGCTGGATTCGACGTTCTCTGAGCCCCTTTGGCATGGACACCCAGCGACAATATACAAAAACACACTTTACCTGCAGCCAGAGGTGCCTCTGGGCCAACCACCACGAATTCAATGTTCTCCTCTTTGCAGAACTGAGCGAGGGCACTGTGATCGCTGACGGCGATGGCTGCGAACAGAGGAGGAACAGGCATCCTTTAAGTTACTGCCACCTGAAGACCAAGTGCTAAACGCGGGCATGCCTGTGCACTTGGTGCAGGCGCTTCCTCAGGGGACAGCTGGAACCAACACGGCTTAGTTCTCTGCTGTCGCTGCAGCCAGTGAGAGATGAAAGACCAGGAAGCGCCCCAACTCCCTTCTCTACTATGCTGTTTGTGTCACAAGGGTTGACTGCAGTCAACATACGCGCATCACAGGATACACTCAGAAACTGGTCTTCGAATTTCACTCATTCAAGATGCACTGAGGACCGCTATGTGCTGGGTGCTGCCCTAGTGACGGGGTGACGACGTGAACACAACAGGGCCCCTACATGTAGGATGCTTACATTCCACTGTGGGCATGTTGGGTAATAAATACTTAAGGAGACTAAAACCCCAGTTGTGAACCAAGTAGGCATAGTTGCTATGAGGTGAACTGGGACGCTATCCTGGTAAGATGCATTGAGGACCGCTATGTGCTGGGTGCTGCCCTAGTGACGGGGTGACGACGTGAACACAACAGGGCCCCTACATGTAGGATGCTTACATTCCACTGTGGGCATGTTGGGTAATAAATACTTAAGGAGACTAAAACCCCAGTTGTGAACCAAGTAGGCATAGTTGCTATGAGGTGAACTGGGACGCTATTCTGGTTGAGTCAGGGAGGGTGTCCTTGTGAAAAGATGCTTCAACTAAGAGCTGACTGATTTAAGACTGGGTTCATGTCTGCCTGTAGGACAGGTCAGCTTGCTTTGCGGATGGAGTGCTAAGTAACGGGCAGAAGGGCAACCATGCACTCAGCACAGCGGCTTCCCTAGATCGCTCCTGCTCCCCGGCACCTGGACCACCACCCTGTCAGCTGGTGTCTTTAGTCCACACAGCGTGAGCTGTGTGATGAGCAGGGACGAGGGTGGAGGACCACGCACGCTGGGGTGGCAGCTGCAAACACCCTGGGCTGAGCGCAGCCAATGACCTCAGCAGAGCAGAAGGCGCACGAGGAAGGGGCGCACCTAACCTGCCTTTGCAAGTGGCAGCAGCCTCATGTCGGCTTAGGTGTCACCTGCCTGCATGACATCATCTGCTTCTGAAGGAACCGCGCCAGTTCTCGAGCAAGAAGACACGAGATCTCACCCCGACCTAAGATCCCAGGGAAGCAGGCATTTCCTTATTTATTGTTTCATCTTATTTTTGGTCCTGTGCATGCAACCATCTTCTCCCAGTCTGTGGCTGGCTGGGTCATGGTCGTCTCTCCATATACGCCGTGTGCCACCTAGGGTACCAGGCATGGTGCACACAGTGCCAAACAAGACAATGAGTTCCTTGCCCTCATGTGGCCCATGTTCAAAGGCTTAGGTTCTAGGGAGGAAATGAAGATAGAAGACAGACAGCAGGAAAGTAAAAATAAATACGATGGTTCACAATTGAAAACAAATAAAATGGGGTGAACATGCTGTAACTGGGAACTGTAGGAAAGGCCTCTTTGAGCGGTAACATGTAAGCTGAGACCTGGACCGAGGAGCCAGTCACGCGAGGGGTGGGAACGAATACAAAGACCAGGGCAGCTCTGCTTGGGAACTGGCAGGACTGCATGGATGGAGCAGCGAAAGGACGCAGAAGATGGAAAAGATCAGGCTGGCAAGGCAGGCAGAGGCCAGATCGCAAAGGGCTTTGTAAGGAGCTCGGGAAGGTTGGTTTTATTCTAAGCCCTATGGCAGTGATGGCGAACCTACCACACGCGTGTCAGAGGTGACACGTGAACTCATTTTTTGGTTGATTTTTCGTTAAATGGCATTTAAATATATAAAATAAATATAAAAAATATAAATCTTTGTTTTGCTATGGTTGCAAATATCAAAAAATTTCTCTATGTGACACAGCACCAGAGTTAAGTTAGGGTTTTTCAAAATGCTAACACACCGAGCTCAAAAGGTTTGCCATCACTGCCCTACGGGAAGCCACTGAAGAGTTTAATGTAACCTAAGACGTGGTCATTTTTTACTGGTTGAAGACATAAAGCTTGAGATCTGTTATGGAGCGAGACTTGTCAGAACTTAGATTTAATAGCATTGCTCAACTTTTTTAATAAATAAACTGATTTCAGAGAAGAAGGGAGAGGTAGAGAAAGACAGAAACATCAATGATGAGAATCATGGACCGGCTGCCTCCTGCACGCCCCATACCAGGGATCAAGCCCGCAGCCCAGGCATGTGCCCTGACCGGAAATCAAACTGTGACCGCATGGTTCATAGGTCAATAGGTCAACCACTGAGCCAAGCCAGCGGGAGTGGGTGGGGGGCATCGCTCAACTTTTTATGTCCAAAAATATACATTAAAATGCCTTTAACCTATATTAGGCACTTGTGACTTTAATGGATGGGCTTTATAAGGTTTAAAATAATTTCAGGCCGAGGCCGGTTTGGCTCAGTGGATGGAGCGTCGGCCTGCGGACTGGGGGGTCCCGGGTTCGATTCCAGTCGGGGGCGTGTGCCTGGGTTGCGGGCACATCCCCAGTGGGAGATGTGCAGGAGGCGGCTGGTCGATGTTTCTCTCTCATCGATGTTTCTAGCTCTCTATCTCTCTCCCTTCCTCTCTGTAAAAAATCAATAGAATATATTTAAAAAAAGAAAGAAATATATTAAAATAATTTCAGATAAGGAAATGCTACACTCCAAACAACAGATACCTTAAATTTGCAATAGATGGCAAGTATTCAAATCACCCCACAGGTTTTAAGGTTAAGGAAAGCATTCAAATCTGAAGAGCAACTGACCTTACAAAGCACAGATGCAGCTGACAGTTTACCATTTATAATTATTAATTACACTCCCCACTTGAAAACATGATTACCAGTGTTTGAAATCTTCCCAGAGCCGGCAGTGCCTGCATTCCCGGGGGCGACCAACACCTGTCTGACGTGAGGAGATTGCGCCAGTTTCCAGGCCAGCGTGTGCTCTCTGCCCCCATTGCCGACGACAAGCACTCGGGCGGCCATGCTGTCTGCAGCAGGACTCCGCAAGAACGCGCAGCTGCAGGAGGACCACAGTGACACGTCAGGATGCACACGCCTTAGGAATCACAATCCCTCATCACGATGTATACCCCCGACTCACTTGTGGAACATTAGGGTTCGTAACTGGACAAATACGGCTGCATTCCTAAGATATTAGGGAGGATTTTAAAAATGAGGCAGACTGGCTAGAGAGCCAAGTTAAGGAGTGAAATGACAAGTTTACTCCTTATTTGATTAAAAAACAAAAAAACTCCGTGAACAGTAACCCTTCTGTAGGCTTCACTTGCAGAAGCTAGGGTAATCACCAGCCTCAGTTAGAAATGAACCCTGATGTTTAGACCAGAGTTTACAGTGACTGCTTTTAAATCCTGACAATAGACGTTGGGGGCCATAGTCTCTGCCACAATACTGAATTCTGCCGTAGCAGCATGAAAGCAGCCATGCACGCGTAAGTAACTGTGGCTGCGTCCAGGGAACTTACAGAACAGACAGTGGGCTCTAGGCCGTAGGTGCCTATCTCTACTCTAAGCTGTAGGAGGCGATTAGAGGCTTGGAAAGAATAACCATGCTGGGCTTCAGTAACTTTAGGCATAGACACGGCAATGTGAACTTTACACTTTCCACATGCCGTAGAAACATGCTTCCTTTAATTTTTTTCACCAACTTAATGATGTAAATACTATTCTTATTTAGTGGCTGTACAAAAACAGGTGACAGGAAAGACTGGCACAGGGGCCATAGTTTGCTGGCCCCTGACTTAAGTAGGGCAATGTTAGAAAATTCGCAGAGATGGCAAAAATCAAATTTGAACACATCTCACTTTAGTTCTGGCATTTGATTCTTAGTGCAACAGCTATCTCTCAACTGAAGTTAGCAGTGAGATCTTGATAAGCTCTATTTGTACTTCAATTTCTTCACATCTTAAAAGATGGAAGAAAACATGCCTTACAAGGCTACGCAAGAATGAACAGAAATAACATTTATATAAACAATTAGCCCAATTTCTGACATTCAGCAGCAGTAAATGCTACCTTGTTATATTTTATTGCCTACTTTTATCTAAATTAATACTTTAGGGATAGAAATAAATTTTAACAGAAAAAAAGCCAAAAAAACAAATAATTTGTCACATGAATGTACTAATTTCCAGAGGCATTTAATTATGTAGAAAGCAAACTGATAACAGGAAAAAGAAAACTGCCATTTTTAATTTCTTGCATGATGCTAGGATTACACATTTAAGTAAAAATCTAAGCCCTGGGCGGTTGCTCAGTGTTTAGAGTGACCGTCTGTGCACTGAAGGATCATGGGTTCGCTTCCCCCATGTAGCTCAGCTGCACCAATGGATGTGTCTCTATCACATTTCCAGTCTCTAAAAATCAATGGAAAAATACCCTCCGGTGAGGATTGAAAAAGAATCTAAGCCGATGATGCTGTATTCCAAGTGGTTATCATGAATTAATCTTCATGTTTATTTATGAATATCTGCTGTACAGATAAGAAAGTGAGGCATTAGCCCTGGCTGGTTTGGCTCAGTGGATAGAGCCATCGGCCTGTGGACTGAAGGGCCCTGGATTCATTCCTGTCAAGGGCACATACCTGGGTTGCAGGCTCAACCCCCAGTGGGGGGCGTGCAGGAGGCAGATGACCCATGATTCTCTCTCATCATTGATGTTTCTCTCTCTCTCTCTCTCCTTCCTTCCTCTCTGAAATCAATAAATATATATATATTTTAAAAAATGAGGTATTAGGTAGGTTAAGCAACTTGCTGAAGGTCACAGGATTAGAGGGGGTGGACCCAGGATTGCAACACGAACAATTTCCCATCAGATACTGTAACAATTGAGATGGTAATCATTGAAAACCGGAGGAAGAAACAATTTCTGGATTATCGTTTCCGAGAGGGGAAAGCTGTTGTGTAACGGGAATCACAGATTGGCCACGTGGATGGAAACATCTGAAATACACATGGCTTTACATTTAGCTCGAATAAGAGAGTCCACACCGGGCGAGGGCCTCGGTTTGGGATGAAACTGTCCCCTTCTAGCTCGACACCTTGCGGACTTGCCCTTCTGGGGCCTCGGTTACCTAAACGAGTAACAAACGAGACACGAGCCAGGTGAGCCTGGGATGGACTCCGGAGGAACACAAAGTGGAAAGCAATTGCAAAAGCGCACCCATCGGCCAGAGCATACAATGGCTGCACAACAACAACGAAATGCAATTCAGGTTCACAACCTAAAGCGGCAGGAGGGTACAAGGCCCGCGCCTCGGAGAGGAAACGGGGCGGACCCGCTGCGAGCCTCCGCTCCAGGGAGAAAGCAGGCGGCCACCCCCCACCCGCGGCATTTACGATTCAGGTGCGATTCCTGCAGCCGAGCCCCTTCCCACGAGTTTCATCCACTTCCTGACACGAGACCCCACCCCCGGCAGAGATGTACTTTACTGATGGCGGAGAGAGCTCGCGCACCGACGCGGGGCACCAACACG